GCTCTATCATGGAGACAGATACCTACTTACAGTCAAGGCTTTCACTACATTTACATTTAATTTATGAGCCATCTATGTTTGCTTAAAGAAAAATAGTTGCAGTAACTTGGCACATTTCCAGATTAGATAAGTCTTGAGTTCTAATTTTTATGATATGTATCTCCTTATATGTGCTTTCAGAATGAACCATATTAAAAAAAATAACTGGACCCAGGTCTTACCTTAGTTAGCACTGGCACATTCAGAGAACTTAAACAACTTTGTTTCTATTCACTTGAATTGGCTAATTTGGTTGGTGGAGGAACTCTTTCCTGTCAGACATCAGAGGCTTAAAAATAAAGCACATTAAATGTATACTGCACATCAGAACAAAGAAATATAGATTTCTCAATTTGGATTGTTTAGCTACAGAAAAGTACTTATTTCATAAAAAACTGTCTATATTTATTCATGGAAAATAATATTTGTATGTTGAACCTATTTATTTAGGAAAAATGTTTTAAAATGTATACCAAGTAGTGGATTCTCACAGACCCTGCCTTACCTAAGATATTATTGAGTAAAACTAAAACTGGATAGACAAGCATTACCTGCTTCTTAGTATGATATCCTGAAAAAACATCACTTGCGTAGTGTTCCAGCCAAAATGCATACCCTGAATCTAATCCTGAAGACACATCCGGCAAACACAAAATCAGATACATCCTACAGAGTAACTAGTTTGTGCTTATAAAAATGTAAAAGTCTTTAAGACAGATAAGACAGAAAAACTGGTCCAGATCAAAGGAGATTAAAGAGACATGACACCTAAATGTCATGAAATTGTGGAGTAGCTCCCAGGCCAGGGAAAAATACAGAATAATAAAAGATATGAACAAAAGTGACATTTGGATATAAGTGGTGAAGTCAATGATAGCATTGTGTTTGATGTTAAATGTCTTTGCATCAATGAGTGTACTATGGTTATGCAACAGAATGGTGAAGCTTTTACAAAATACGGACAAGAAGTATTTCGGTATAAAGAGGTTCTTTTTTTTCTTTTTTTTAAATTTTATTTTTTTCTTATCAGTTACATTTTATTAACTCTGTATCCTAGCCGTATCCTGCTCCCTCATTCCCTCCCAATCCCACCCTCCCTCCCTCATCTCCACCGTGCTCCTTTCCAAGTCCACTGATAAGGGGGATCTCCTCCCCATTCATCCGATCCTGTTTTATCAGGTTTCTTCAGGACTGGCTGCAAAACCCTCCTCTGTGGCCTAATAGGACTGCTCCTCCCTTGGGGGATGGGGAGGTCAAAGAGCCAGCCATTGAGTTCCTGTTAGAAATAGTCCTTGTTCCCCTCACTATGGGAAACCAATTGGTTACTGAGCTACCACAGGCTACATCTGAGCTGAGGTTTTAGGTTATATCCATACATGGTCCTTGGTTGAATGTCAGTCTAAAGAGGTTCTTTTTGAATCAGTTGTAGTTATCTCAAAATGGTGTGTGTGTTTGTGTATGTGTGAGGGAGAGAGAGATCTCATATGCAACAAAAGAATCATAAAGTACACAGTGAAAATGTAAACAATTGATTCATCTAAATTAAAGATTTCATGAGGGTCCTTGGTACTGTTGTTTCCACTTTTCTTATCTTCAAATTATTTATAAATAAACTTAACAGAGGAGCTAAATACTTATCCAAATATATATAAAATACTCATGTGGGTATAAAGTTAGGCCTTGAGAGTTACTATAGTCTTTTCTGTACATGAAATCCAGCCTCAAACATCACAAGCTTCCTATATCACAATAGGTATTGTATTTGTTATGGATTGTCTGGAATGTGTCACATTATCAATCTATGCAATAACAACACCTTGAAATTCTAGGGGCATTGAATGAGTTTGTGGTTTTGACTCCCATGGTTTTGCTACTGTGCAAAATCTTTGAATTCATTTTCCACTTAATTTGAAGGAAAAAAAAAAACCTTTCCATGTGTGCAAGTGCCTACCTATGTAGAACACTAAAATGTAGGGTAATCCCATCACAGTTCTGCAGAACACATGCAATAGTTTTCCTGCTTTCTTCCAGACACACATTTTGCTTGCTGGTGCACAATCTGTACCAGCTTGATTTGTTTTGATTTTTAACTTTATTAATTCTGTACCATTAAGCATGTGCAAAGAATAGAATGGAAAGCCAATTGCAGTCCTTAGAGTCATCCATACATTTTTTTCAGATAGGCAAAGATTTGAAAAGTCCTCAGTTATTAACAGCCAGTCTGAGTATTGTAGAAAAGGCATGTTTCGATAGTGGGGGAGGGCTACATCAATAGACTGACAATTATTCTTAGTATATGATCTATATACTCTTTCAATGCCACAGTCAGGTGGTATCATTACTCTATACCCCACTACAAGTTAGCAAGTAATTCATTTTTGTTTTAAAGTAAGTGATTCTTATTAGAGTTGCCACCCTCATATCACTCATGAGTCGCACCATTTACTATTTTCTTTTTAAAAACAATTTACTTTATTTTATGTGCATTGGTGTTTTGCCTACATGTATTTCTGTGTGAAAGTTTCAGATCCTGGAAGTAACAAACAGTTCTGAGTTGCCATGTGGTTGCTGTCAGTTGAACCCAAGTCCTTTGAAAGAGCATTCAGTCCTCTTAACCACTGAGTCATCTCTACAGACCCTCCTATCATTGGAATAGGCTGTCCCTTTTATTCAATCACACACAAATATCTGACCTCTGTTGGGGGAATCTCACCAACATAACTGGTGGGAGGCCAAAGTCTAGAAGGCACTGCATTGTTATGCATTTCCCTGCAGTCTTCATTGCTAGAATAAAACAGGATCAGATGAATGGGGAGGAGGTCCCCCCTATCAGTGGACTTGGAAAGGGGCACGTTGGAGATGAGGGAGGGAGGGAGGGACTGGGAGGGAATGAGGGATTGGGACATGGCTGGGATACAGAGTTAATAAAATGTAACTGATAAGAAAAAAATAAAATTAAAAAAAAAAGAAGCACAGCAGGACATAGGATGAGGAAAAGAGTTTTAGTCTGGTGGTGGCCATAACCATGTTTGCAGAATCCTCCTAAGAATTCTTTCTTAGATATCATTTATGGCTCCTCATCTACTGTTCACGAACTTAGAAGTCTTGTACAAGTAACAAAAACTACTGAGAGGATGAAAATCTCATGAGAAGCAAGGGGCAAATCTATTTATTTTTCTTTATTAGTATTTATTTCAATTTATTTCACTTTGTATTCTAGCTGTAGCCCCCTCCCTCATCTCCTCCTGGTCACACCCTCCCTCCCTCTTCCCCATTCCCAATATTCCTCCCCTAGTCCACTAATAGGGGAGGTCCTTCTAGCCTATCAGGTCTCATCAGGACTGTCTGGATCCTCTTTCTCTGTGGCCTACATAGGCCACCTCACCAGGGGAAGGTAATCAAAGAGTCCACCACTGAGTAGAGGTCAGAGAGAGCCCCTGCTCCCCTTACTAGCAAACTTACTTGGAGACTGAGTTGCCTATGAGCTATATCTGAACCAGTGGTCTAGGTCCTCTCCATGCATGGTCCTTGGTTGATTCATCACTCTCTGCAGGACACTTTGAGCCCAGATATTTTGGTTCTGTTGGTCTCCTTGTGGAGCTCCTGTCCACTTCTATCTCCCCCTTTTCCCATAAGATTCCCTGCACTCTGTGCAAAGTTTGGCTATGAGTCTCAGCATCTGCTTTGTTACCCTGATGTGTAGAGACTTTCAGAGGCCCCTCTGGAAGGCTCCTGTCCTGTTCCATGTCTTCTACTTCTGATATCCATCCTGTTTGCCCTTCTGAATGAGGATTAAGCCTCTTCCCTAGGGTCCTCCTTATTGTTTAGATCTTTAAGACTATAGATTTTAGTGTGTTTATCCCATATTATATGGCTAATATCTACTTTTAAGTGAGTATATACCATGTGTGTCTTTCTGGGTCTGGGTTACCTCACGATGATCTTTTCTAGCTCCATCCATTTGACTGCAAATTTCATGATTTCCTTGTTTTTAATTGTTCAGAGTGTTAATATCCAGAATATACAAAAAACTCAAGAAGTTACACATCAATAAATCAAGTAATCCAATTAAAAATGGGGTACAGAGCTAAATGGAGAATTCTCTATAGAATATTGAATGGCAGAGAAACACTTAAAGAAATACTCAACATCCTTAGTCATCGGGAAATGCAAATCCAAACGACCTTGAGATTTCACCTTACACCCATCAGAATGGCTAAGGTTAAAAATCAAGTGACAATATGTGCTGGAAAGGATGTAAATAAAGGGGAACCATCCTCCATTGCTAGTGGGAATGTAAACTTGTACAACAAGCATTTTGTAAATCAATCTGCTCCCTTCTCAGAAAATTCGGAATAGTGCTACCTCAAGGTTCACCCATACCTCTCCTAGGCATATATCCTAAAGATGTTCAGCCATACAACAAGGACATTTGCTCAAATATGTTCATAGTAGCATTATTCATAACAGACAGAATCTGGGAAAAAACTAGATGTCCCTCAACTGAAGAATGGATACAGAAATTGTGGTATATTTACACATGCCTAGATTTTTAATGAATCTTTTTTTTTAGTGTCATCTAACCTCTTCACTCAATGGTTCTCTTTTCCCAAATAGTCCTCCTGATTTTATGTCACTGACATATATATGTGTGTAGTTAATGCAGATTCTATTCATGTCTTGTATATGTGCATAGCGTGTATATATTGCATGTATATAGTATGTGTATATTCTTAAGAGTTTTCAAACACATACAGATATGTTACATGTTTAGAAATAAATAAATCAGGGCATGAGTTTGTGGTTATAGCAAGTTCAGAGGCTAATAAACGATGGATTACTTCAACCCAGGAGTTCAAGGCCAGCCTAGGCAACATTCCCAAAGGAAGAAGCACAGAAAAATAAATGAAGTAACTAAAAAGAACAAATAAATTACTACAGTCCAACCAACAGGGTTTTTTTTAAACATAACTGCGTGCTTTATTGAGATACACAGTAAAGCAGTAATATAATACAATAGTAAGGCATATATTTGGTGAAGTCTGATCTGTTGTGCAGCAAAACTGAAGTTTAAAAAAATAATTAGTAAATGTTACAGTTTTGATGTTAAAACACAATATATTATGATACTCAAGTATGAATCCAGTACCTGGAAACAATGATGATACATGCCATGTGATGACTATGCTTCAGTTACATTGATTATGATTTACAATTTAATATTTGTGGTTATAAAGAATATGAAATGATGTCCAAATTATGCTTAAAATCAGCAATAAAGCTCTCAGTTTTTATTCAAATATTTGACAGATTCACTGCAGAACTAATATCTAAAAGATAAAATAAAAAGATTAAAACAAAATTATGCACTCTATCTACCTCAGATTTTAGAATGAAACTTAAAACTTCTTAGTAGCATGTAAAGGAACCCCTTGTTTTAAATCTTGGCGAAAACAAACCCTTGGTTAAAGAAAATGTCCAGTGCCACATAAGAGAGAGAGAAAAAAAATGCAAGACCTAAACCAAATTCAGTTTGTTATCTTAGAGCTTTGGGTTTTGTTTTGAAAATTATAAAAGAAAAAAAGGAGAATAGTGTCCACACAACAGACAAGTAGTGAAATTGTGAAATTAGGTGTGCGTAATTACTAGGAACACCCCAAAACCAAAGTGAGGTAGAAATAGCATGAGAAAGCTGTATTTGATGTTAATTACAATTAATAATGGACAAAACTCACTCTCTAAAAGTTCATTATGCTTGATGTTAGAGGTAACAGATTTTCAAAGTAATAGAACAGTGATTTCTATTGAAAGAATGATTTTTAAATGACAGAGTAATAAAATGACGTGAAAGAGTAAGTAAAGCTTTTCCTACCAGTCTTTAGCTTTCTTCTTCACTTTTTCTCCTCTGTTTCAGTGATTTAATGTGTTTATGTATTTCAGCCTGTTAAATATTCCAGAAAGTTTGGAGATGCTTTGCTCATGAAACTTTCAAATTGCTGTGCCTTCCCACTCACAATCCTGTATGGAATTATTTGCAGGAAAACTAATGCAAAGGAGATAATGTAGTTCATGGGCTTCTGGATTGCTATTCACAGGGTCACAATATGATTAGGTTACTTTCTTTCAATAATTCTAAGTCTTGCAGCATTAAAAAAATCATCACAATGAAAAAAACCAAAATCAAACCAAAAATCTAAAATCTAAAAATCATCATCATCATCAACAACAACAACAATGAAACCACCCACTTCAGTTTGAGTTTAAGAAGAGGGTAGAAAATTTTAGTTGTAATTATAGAGACTTTTGTGTGTATAGTTATGAATATTCATCCACTCTTTTACAGAGTAGCTACTCCCCTCATAGGAATTGACTGGGGAGCTACAACCTTCAGCCCCACCCATCTTCCTCCTTCTGCCTGGAATTTAAAAATGCCTTCTGATGTTCTTTTGCAGAAACATCATTAAATCTAAACCATGGCATAGCCAGTAGTAGGAAGCTGAATATATCATCCAGCAGACTACTTTGATACAGTAAGTCCTGTGTATTCATTCACATGTTCCTTTAAGAAAAATATCAGTGTTCTAGCTGTCAGTGGAAAGTTTAAAACTAGAAACATCTGGAGCCCTAGACAATATTTTAGTGTAGTACTAGTCTCATGGCTTTGGGCTCCAAGGAAAATTCACTCTTGCCCAAGCAGATAAGCCTGGGTGACTAAAAGCAATTTATTTCCATTAGGAAGTGGCAAGAACATTTGAAGAAGAAATTTCCTATCTATTTATCTATATACCTATAGTAGTTATATACTTTTAGACATATAGATGTATAAAATGAAAGCCCGCAGCCAGCCCTATTCTGTCAACAATTCTCAAAGGAGCAACGTGAAGCAGTCATTTGGTGGTGTTAGAAGTCCTATCTTTAATATGCAAGAAACAAAAAAAAGTCATGAATTTCATATGAATACCACACCAAAGTAATGCAAAACAATGTGCTGCCTCAGTGTGTGTGTGTGTGTGTGTGTGTGTGTGTGTGTGTGTGTGTGTGTGTGTGTGTGTGTTTAGGGGTTTTTATAAACAACTTTTTTTTTATAAAGCACACTTTAGTTTACAATCTTTCTTTATAACTGTTATAAATTTTTAAACAACCCAAAATGCGTTCCATATAAAGAAATGGCAAGTTATTTAGCTATCAAGATTTTACATGTAGTTTTCTTTTAACTTTTTTGTACAATTGCATAGACGTGTAAAACCTGCCATTGTTAACAAAACAATAACAGACTTAGAAACTACTGAAATCTACAGTATAGTACCACTACCCTTCACAAAAATATAGATTTTTTTTTCTTGTAAACTCTTACTGTCTAATCCTCTTTGTTGTACGAATATTATAAAAACCATGCGGGAATCAGGAGTTGTAAAACATTTATTCTGCTCCTTCTTCATCTGTCATGACTGTAACTAAGGACTCCATCGCTCTCCCCAAATCATCTGCCATGTGGAAAAGGCTTCCTACATTGTGTCCTGAAAAACAAAGAGGAAGACTTTACAAAGTGCACAGGTATTGTACCCTTGATTGCTATTATGATGAATCATTCTGTTTCAGGAAAAGACAACACAGAAGCTGCATTGAAGGTATACAGAACACAGTTCCATTTTACCCATTTCCAGGAAGAAACAAAGCCTTGTTAATGAAGCATTGCATGGTGTTAGTATCAGCTTAAGCCTGGATCTGCCTATTGGTGTAAGTTGATGGAGAAAAGTGTGAAATATCATCCCAGTTTCAAATTCCTGACACATCTCAAAGGGATTCCTTAGGTAAGCACAATGTTCTATCACAGAGAAAGATTTTTAACAGGATACACATTTCTCACTTTGTTGTATTTACCTTGTTGTATATACTACACTTTTACTATCAAGTCAATACCACCTCTCCTACTACCATCACCATTACCAGCACAGTCATTTACTGGTTGCTTCATGCTGTGAAGAATAGAAGTACTTGGTGGACATGACCATTTTCTTTCTGTTTTTCTTGGGTTGAAAAAAAAAAAAAAACAACAAACTCTTGATTTGAACTTTTTTTTTACCATTCACATTTGAAATAAAAAGCTTCAGAGTAAAATCCACTTTTACATTCCAAATTACTCTGCAGCCTAATTACCATATGACCTACGTACTTGTAGTTCAAAAGATTTGAGGATCCTGAGAATCCATCTTTGCTTGCCTACTAAATGAGGGTTAACTATCAAAGTAGCCTTTTCATAATAATGTGGCATGACCTGGCATTTATCCCCCAACATGGAATCAAGAGCATAATGTCTTGTGGGTATTCTAGCAAAGCTAAAATCTAGATTAAGATAATCTGTGACTTAATTTACAGCTATCTTTTGTGTATATTTCCCATATTTTATGAGTCTGATTTTAATTCTTCAACCTTGGTAAGTCATTCTAGTTTTCAAGTATTGCCTTTGGAAATGAGATGCTTTATTATGCCATTACTACCTTACCATTTATCAATATAACAGCGTCTCATAATTGCTAAAACCCCAATAAAAATTAAAGGTAGACCAGAGTATGTATTATGTTTTAATATTTATCTCAAGAGACACATATCTTTTAAAGACAAAATATGGAAGAATTAGAAAAAAATTCATGGGCAAAGGCTTATATAGTAATGGCACCAGTTCAACTTAAGATTTATTAAATGTTTAATGCCACTCAATAATTTATATTAAGGTGACTAAGTTTGTAAATCTCCTTGAGTTTTATCAGTACAGAGAATTTCATTGAGAACTGTGTTTAAAAAATATTTTGGATTTTAGTTGAGACTTCAAATATGAAAACGTTTAACAAATCATATTTATTATTCATAAAGCGGGCCGCCAATGTCCTGGCAGTAAAAAACTTGAATCATCAACATATATAATATGCTGATGAATATATCAACATGGGAAGACCAGGTATACTAGTCTTGTAGTCCCAGTACTCGGGAAGAGGGTATCAAAGTCAAGGCCAAAATTGTGTTACAGAGTGGAATCCTGTCTTTAAAAAAAACAACCAACAAACAAACAAACCAAAAAATAAAAACAAAAGCTCAGGGAGTCATAGTTGAGTCCCTTGTTGTTCTGTGGCTCTCAGAATGCAAATATACAAGTGACACTCATGGGTTGAAGGGAGTCCCCTGTATCTGCTTTTTGCTGAACAACAAGCAATCCTGGGAAATCTGCACAATGACTCACACACACTTCAAAGTTGACGGAGTAACTCCACCTTTTGGATTATTAATAATCTTAGCAAAGCCAGTAAAAATATTCTTATAACCTGGCAGTGAATATAATTTGAATCATGTCTTATGACGAACAGCTGACTCTTGGATGCTAACTAGTAGCTAGATAATATATTTTAAAATACAAACAGAACAGGGAGTATCTTGGTTTTTTTCCTATCAAATAAAAACTAACCTTTTAAGACTGCTGGCTAGGGATTATACACTGAAATTCAAAAGACAGTAAGCCAAGTAAATGTAGTGATAGACTATATCCCCAAGGAGTACTTCTAGTCTTTAAAAAAAGAGTTCGGTTATTACCTAGAAATAACACTTGATTATCTTGAAGTACTACTTCTAGGGTGCATTTGCTATTAAAACTTTGTCAGCAGCAGGAAAGATTCATTATTTTTATACTACATATACTAGCATAAATGTTGGGTGGTATTAACCTGTTTAGACTGTTCAATGTTGGTGTCTTTATAACAATGCTTATGTTATAAAAATATAAGAACTTGTTATATCTACATTATATGTTTGGTAATATAATTTATAAACACCCATTTCACTAGAATAATGATTATAATTTTATGAAAGTTTTACTGGTTACAGAAAGCAAACAAAATAAAACAAAATTCATTATCTTTGACAAAAATACTGCCCCAAAGAATTAACCCTCAATCCACTGGAGGGGTATAATAAGGATATAATATATAAATTTGTATGTATCATGGTTCTACTATCCTTTTGAATAGGGAAGGGTATAATGAGGTCATTAACTTTATTTGACAAAATCTGAAGATAACATTCAAATATTATACTATATATTGTAAGAGGTCAAAAAGTAGCCAGGATTCACACAATAGTAATGGATTTGGGGCCCAATGTGACACAAAAAGTATATCTATAGATAGCAATAATTTAATCCATTCTTAAGCAAGAATTATTGAACACAAAGGACCATGCACTGAACATTAGGACAGTTTTATGTTTTTCCAAGTTGGCACTGTCTGCAACACATTTAGACCCACATGCTAACACTGCCTAAGGGAGCTATTTTCCGCCGCGATTGGAATTGAGACTTTCTGGTGAAGATCCAAGACCTCAATAACAATCTGGCACTCTATTTTTTTTTTAAATACAATTACCAAATAAATGGTTAGCATTCAATTGGCCAAAGCAAAGCCAAAATACTGCAGTGAAATAGGTTTATCTTTCCCTCTCTATAATTTTATCGCTGGAAAAAAAATGCTTTGCCTACTGTGAGTTTAGCGTATTTTCTTAGCCTTATAGAAGACACTATGGTTTTGGTGCTGTGGCATTTTAGGAGTTCACCTCACTATCCTGCATCTCAAGTCATAGTCACTGATTCAGTTCCATCTACTGGACTTTAAAAAAAAATATTTATTTCTGGATAAAACATGTTCAGGAGGTCAACATTATCTTCTTTTTTATATTTAAAATTTATTGTTAAAAATCAAATAGTTGTTTTTTTATTAGTAGAAACTGGAGTTCAACATTTTGATGTAATTCTTTTCCACAAAAGAATGTTAAAATTTAAGGTGGGCACTTACCATTAAAATCAACAACAAAAAAAGACTCACGGACTAAGTGCATGATCTAGGAGCATTCCATGCAGCACTGATTCAAAATTTCTTCATGTCTCCTCCAAGCTACTATTCCCTCCCTGGAATTTTCTTCCCTCACTTTGAAAGGACATCAGTGTAGACACACTGAGAACAGTTAAATTTATTATAATTGCGTAGCACGGTCACGATAGAATTTCTATTATGACTACTTAGGTTTAAAAAATTATATTGTTTTCTACTGTTTTTAACTATGTGTACTTTTAGGGAGTATCTGCAGGTGTCTACAGAGGCTCAATGGGTCCTCAGGAGATGAACTTACAGATGGTTGTGAGAAATCAGGTCTTCTGCAAAAGCAATTAACATCTCTCCAGGTCCATGACTACTTATGTTTGAATGTATAAGTGGGTTACTTGTCTATTTCTGTGCTAAGGATGCAGATCATATGTGAGAACATTCTACCCCTCCAGCTTATCTCTCAGAACAACACATGCTATTGGCATCTCTTGAGAGAATTTGGCTACCTCTTTCCTTCATGTTAAAATAATAGTTAGGGCAATCTTATTCGACTTGGGCTGAAACTTAACACTTTGTCACTCTACAATCACTTGAGTAAGTCAATGTGCAGATAATAGTTTAAGATTAAGAAGCAGTATTCACTATAAAAACACAAAGTATACTCATTGATATTGCTGTACCCTACTCATTTCAACACTTGAAAAGGCATTAAAAACATATTAACTCAATGGCTGGCTCTTTGGCCTCCCCACCCCCCAAGGGAGGAGCAGTCCTGTTAGGACACAGAGGAGAGCTTTGCAGCCAGTCCTGAGGCTACCTGATAAAACAGGATCAGATGAATGGGGAGGAGGTCCCCCCTATCAGTGGACTTGGCAAGGGGCACGGTGGAGAGGAGGGAGGGAGGGAGGGACTGGGAGGGGATCGGGACACGGCTGGGGTACAGAGTTAATAAAATGTAACTGATAAGAAAAAATAAAATACAAAAAAAAACATATTAAAACCCTAACATTCATTTTTTTAACCTGATGGGTTACTATTCTGTTTGGATTCAAATGCCAAATAAAAAGAGAGTCTTCTAAAGGGTGTGTTGAGATGAAGAAAGCCTTTCCATCATGTGGCTAATGATGTGGTTTTGAAGCCAGGCATTCTGGACGTCTCCCTTGGCTCTGCCACTCTGGATACTTTGCTTTCCCACTCCTTGATTCAATGATCTTACGTGTGAAAAACAGGGTTCAGAAGAATACCTACCTTATAGGTCTGTCATAAAGATTATGTGATAGAAAAAATGAATGACAAATGCTGACAACATTGCTTGGCACAAAATACATATTAAAAAAAAACTTAGCTAAAATGGAAACGAAAGAGTGTAGGAATCAGGAAAAGAGAGGGAAGATAATGGAACAAAATAAAAGAAACTAGCCATCTCAAAAGAAAAAAAAATAAAAGATCCTGGCAGAAAATGCTCAGGTTCTGAAAGTGGAAGGAAGCTTTAAGACTCATCAATCATGTTCAAGGCAAAACTTATTTTGACGATTCTGTTAGTGTTGTAGATGACAATAGATGTGAACTTCAAGGTTCCAACCTAGAGACTAGAGAGGATTGCCATTTTTGAGAGACTCCTGTTTCCCCACACCCCTCCTGTTGTCATGGAG